TGGACAGCCTCGCAAGGTCAGAGGATGGCAGGTGAACAGAAGCCCTCAAGTAACCTCCTGGAACAGTTTATCCTTCTGGCCAAAGGCACCAGTGGCTCAGCCCTCACCGCTCTCATAAGCCAGGTCCTGGAGGCGCCTGGAGTATATGTCTTTGGAGAACTGCTGGAGTTGGTCAACGTACAGGAGGTAAGAGCTGTTTCTAGACGTTTCCTCGGCCGTCCCTGTCCTAGGCCTTTCCTGCGGTTCTTGAGCTTCCCGAGGAGTTGCATTTAAGGCAGCATCTGAGAGCAGGGACAGAGGAGAGAGAGGAGGTTGTCCTGGCTCCTTCCAGTGAGAATGCCTATCTGGACACGGTCAAATTTGACTGGGTCACTAACAATCGGGAAGACAGAAGAAAAGAATCAAGTTGAGATGGATAAATTAGCAAAGTAGTGCTGCAAGGTGGAATGATGTTTAACTGAGAAAGTCTCAGACCCAAACCCTCCAATCCAAATAGAGATCAGAAGGATTGGCCAGGCCCATGAGTAGCAGGAAAAGCTTGCTGCTGAGAACGAGGTGGACGTCAGGAAAGAAAAGGTTGTCCCAGTGGGGAAGGGCGATATTGAAATAAGTAGGTGTGTTCCCTAGCTTTGGCTTGGGAAGCCGGGAGCGGTCCTTTTGCTTGTTGGCTTGTTTAGTTTGCCATCGCGATTAAGAGTACAGGCAGGCAGCTCTTATCGCGTCACCTTGGAAACCGAGGAGGTCTGTTGAAGAAGGCCGCGTGACACGAGGGACGGGAGGAGCAAAGCAGCCTTGTCTCTTCAACCTCGGCAGCTTTCTGTTTTCAGTCGGTTTTTACCTAATGCTCCTCATCCCCACTAGACTGTCAGCTCTGTGAGGGTCAGGTCTGGTGTGGTCACCGGTGTCTCCTTGGAGCGTAATGTGTCGTCTGACACTGTAGGCTCTCAGTAAGAAATCTAATTGCCCAGAAATGGACAATGACTTCTCTGAGGAGAACTGAAAATAAATGGGTTCCCTTTTCAACAGAAGAGATGAGCCAGGAGGGCTTTGTTTCCTTCCCATGCCTGAAAAGCCTGAGTAAATAGGCTAGGTGGTGGTTTTTGGATCTGCGGAAAGTTGCCTGAGAGGCTCAGATGCTGATTCAGGCCATCAGACCTGGTGGGTGTAGGTTGGGGACATAGGGAGGCGTTTGGCACTCTCTGCCGTGAAATCAGTTGCTGGTTTTGTAGTTCATCTGCTTGGTAGGTAATGGGAGCCTTGGCCGCGTAGTGGTTATGCACTGGCTGCTAACCGCAAGCGTGCACTTTGAAACCACCAGCTGCTCCGAAGGAGCACTTTGGGGCAGGGGCAGTTCCACTCCTTGGGTCTCCGGGAGTCGGCAGAGACTCCACGGCAGAGTTTTTGATTTGGTCTGGTAGGTGGGGACGGGTGTGCCAGTCTTTCTGAGGTTTCTACCAGCAGAGATTCGGGGTTCTCAGGAGGTTCTTGGTCACCTGAGAGGGCAGGTCCGCCAAAAGAACGAACGCGCTTGGCACATCACCTTCTTCTCTCCCTCAGAGTGTGTGTACGAGGGCTATGGAGGAGCCAAGAAGTTCCCGGGAAACTCCCACCCAGATGCGTTCGTTTTGTTTGTCCACTATTGTTCCCCTGGTCTGGAGTGAGTTGTCTCCATCCTGGACTCTGCTCCTTGAGCCTCCTTTTGAAGAGATCTTGATCTTGGGGTCTGCTGAACCACCTCCCTGTTGAGGAGTGACCGAGTCTGACAGGAGGGGAAGGGCCTGCTTGTGCGAACAGGAGCCCCCTCTGAGAGCAGCCAAGTTGTGACCTTGACCTTCGTTTCCCTCCTGCTGGGTTGTACTGAGGGTTTCTGCCTGCGCACCTGGTGTCTTGTCCCACCCGGGCTCTCCATGGCATCTTGAGCTCGTTTGTCCCAGTTCCCCAGTTTCCATGGGTCTGACCCTGGGAGCCAGCCCTAGGCTTTGCTCAGTTTACATTGAGAGTTGCTGGTTCAATATGTGGGCACAGCTGTCTTCGAGACTTCTGAGGGGATGGGAACTGCTTCTTGGGCTTATTGGAGGTGGGGGACGGGCTAGAGTTGGAGGGAGGGACAGACGGACAGATGGGTAAGCACTGCTAAGCAGTTACTTGTGACCAACGTCAATTGTGACATATGCCTTACTGAGAAAGAAAAATGGACTCTGGGGCCTTGTCATCTTGGGGACTTTCCCCCGTTAGTGTGGGGAGGGGCCCCAGGGCCGGAGTCATCACACAGCAGAGGCAATGGGGTCCTGCCCATGACTTTGGCATATGACTCCAACCCTCTGTTGGAAACGCCAATGATTGGTGACCAGCTTGACCTGTGGTGACCTTGTGTTTCCTCCACAGCTCGCAGAAGGAGCGAATGCTGCCTATTTGCAGCTGCTGAACCTGTTTGCCTATGGAACGTACCCAGATTACATAGGTGAGTGGGCTGGGAGCCTTGCACAGACGTTGCATGGTCGCTCTGTCAGCCTGTGGCTGTGCGCCTCTGTGGGATGATGGAGGGTGGGATAGCCGAGCTCTGCAGGTGACCTCACCAATGAATATCCTGTGGGTAAAGCAGGGACAGTGTTTACATCCCTCTGCATGTAACCTGTCACCAGCGATTCTGACTCATTGTGACCCTCTAGGACAGTGGTTCTCAACCTTCCTAATCCGGGGCCCTTTCATACAGTTCCTCATGCTGGGGTGACCCCTAATAACTATAAAATTATTTTCGTTGCTACTTCATAACTCTAATTTTGCTACTGTTACCAATTGTAATGTAAATATTTGATATGCGAGGATGTATTTTCATTGTTACAAATTGAACATAATTAAGGCATAGTGATTAATCCCAAAATAATGTAATTATATATTGTGAAATATTTATGTGTTTTGCGATGGTCTTAGGCGACCCCTGTGAAAGGGGTCATTTGACTCCCAAAGGGGTTGAGGCCCAGAGGTTGAGAACCACTGGTCTAGGAGGCTGACAGCCCCAGGCTCTTGTCAGCCCACTGCACTTGAGTCACGTCTGACTCACAGTGGCCTGGTTAGGGTTTCCAAGGCTGTAAATCTTTACAGGAACAGACAGCTTCATCTTTCTCCTGAAGAACTGCTGGTGGATTTGAACTGCCAACCTTGTGGTTAGCTACCCGACAGCACCACCAGGGCCCCGCTCACCCACATTTTGTAGAGGTCTGTGTTAGTAGCATCTGGGGCTGGCGGAAGCATTTTAAATGGTTTCAAAATGACCCTGTGCTGCATACCATTTGGAAAATAGAAGCCACTCCTCCTGGGAGCCCCTGACGCTCTGTTAGCGTGGGGCTGGGTTTTTCCTGCCCTTCCTGGTTCCCAGGGGCCTTTTGATCTCTTGCCCGAGTCACAGGTCATAAACCTGTGTCCATATTAAGTCTTGGCAGTCATCTCCACAGCCCCTCCCATTATTGGGGCATGGGGTGATTTTAAACTGGAATCTGAAGTGTCAGGAAGGATGTGCTTGTGTGTCCCAACAACTGCCGCAGTTTACGTCCGTGGTACGACTGGAGCTGGCACCCTGGCCCTCCACACTGTGCCCGGCTCTCCTCCTGCTCTCTGGTCACCTCAACAGACCGGCCGCTGCTGGCAGCCTTCAGTGTGCCACTCTGGGACACCATGGGGTTTCTCAGCGGCACATGGGTCCTCTGTCTGCACCCTCAATCAGCATAGAGGCCGAGGGTGCAGCCTCAGAGCCCCACACTGGCAGGCTGCCTCTGTCTTCCCTGCCCACAGCCCCTGTGCCTCCCTTCCTCACCTGTAAAGTGTTGACAGTGACAAGGCAAGCAGGCCAGTGGGGCTCTCTACTCCTGGGGCGTGCTGCCGAGAAGGCTGGACTTGGGGGCTTTAACACGGCGGTGGATGCATGTGCCTCTTGGGGCAGCTCCCCCAGAGAGCAAGCTGTGGCAGTGCCTGGAGGCACACACGGCTAGGCTTCTGCAGGAGAGCACCTGGCAGTTCCCAGCACATCTCATTCAGCTCAGGAATTGCCACCAGATGAATTTTGCCATCATGTTAAAAAGTGTGTGTGTGTGTAGACTTAACTAGACACTTGCCACCTCATGGTGTCCGTTCCCTGTGCAGAGAAACTGAGCCTTTCCTCCCTGAGGGGCTACTGGCCTTCCGCTCAGTGAGCGTGCACAGTCAGGATAGCAAGGGGCGTGCGGTGTGGGGAGGCTGAGAGTCTGGTTCACGAGAGAAATACTAACTTGCTTTTGTGTCTTGATTTCTGTGGTGGGTGGGACTGAGCAGCCAACAAGGAGAGCCTGCCCAAGCTGAGCACCGCCCAGCAGAACAAACTGAAGCACCTCACCATCGTGAGCCTGGCCTCCAGGATGAAGGTACCTTGGCTTCCCGGCCCCGGCACCCTTCCCCCTACCCTTTCCCAAGCCCAGCGAGGGGCTCCTAGCTGCACGGTAGAGTCACATCACAAGTGCATGCAGTTTGCTTGGCGAAGGAAGAAACAGAATCGTAATTCAGATAAGGCAGGCCAGTACTTGCTGCCTTGTTCTGGAAAAGTCCACCCAGGAGTGATGGTGACTTGGGCAGCCGTGCCTTGGCACCTTGTGGCGGGGGCTTTTTGCCATGTGACAGAGAGACCAATACATCTGTCTCAAAAAGCATAGCACCTGCCTCCCCTCATACAACATTCTTTAGTCTGTTCACGGTGAACTGGGCCGATACTGGAGGGTGAGTCCATCTGGGAACCTGTGCTGTAGGACCAGCCTGGTTGTAGACAGCTGCTCCAGATGGTTAGCACAGCCGCTGCCTTTGAGCCGGCCTGGCTCCCCTCGGCCCCAGCTGTGGGACAGCCTACGGGCTTGGCTTTTGCCTATTGTGTTCCCTCTCCGGGAGAAAGCCTGTGAGACGGGAGGTTGATTCTTGGCTGCGGTCTGTAAGTTTCCCGCTTGGCCTGGCGCTTCAGGCAGATCGTTACTGGCTCTGCCTCAGGGACTCCACGTTCATAAAACAAAGCGAAACACTGCTGTCCCTCTGCCGTCCTCTGGTTTCCTCTGAGCCCATCGTACAGTCATGTCACCAGGGCTCTTCCTCGTCCGTGCTGCCTCTCTCCTTTACCAAACTCAAGGTCCCTTCTCCAGGGGCTGGTCTCTGCTGAGAACCTGTCCAAGGACGTGACGTGGTGGGCATCTCAGGCAAGAAGCCCATTTGATTAGGAGTTGAGGGCTTGACCTTTTTTTGGTTCTGATCTATGGATCCAAGTGGAGCTGAGAACTGGAGTGACGGTCCCCTTCCTTTCTGCAGCACGTTGCTGTCACCCCCCTGCCCCCCTGGATTTCAGGCCCAAGACCCTTATAGGATGCTTGCTGCTGCTCTGTGTTCTGCAAACTGCTTCCTCCTATCTGTTTGCATCCGTAGAGCTGACCACTGTGTGAATTTCCAAACCGATAACCATGGGTCCAAGGGCTTGCAGAACACTGAGGGCATAGCTGCCCTGTGGCCAGGAAGCCCCTCAGACTGTTGGCGCAGGCCAGCCAGCACATACTGTGGGGGGAATTGACGGCCGCAAGGGTCTGTGACAAATAATGGAACCGTCCGTGTGACCTCTGGGCTGGCAGGCTCACCGCTGGCTGGGGTGAGGCTGCTTAGGAGCTGGCATTTGATGCAGACGCTTCAGACTTCCTGAAGGTGGTGGCACCCAGGTGGTGTGGCACGTGCTCAGCACCCCCTTTACTCCTGTGGGAGGGCCTTCCAGATCCAGTGGCTCCAGGGTAGGAAAGCGGGAGGCTGGGCGAAGTCCATGGGCTGCCGGGTCAGTGCTGCCTTGGATGCCTCGTGGCTGGCTTGCTCATCCACCGGCTTGCGGGAAGGTGGCCGTGCTGACGCTGGCCTGGCCCACACAGTGCATCCCCTACTCGGTGCTGTTGGAGGCCCTGGAGATGCGCAGCCTGCGGGAGCTGGAGGACCTCATCATCGAGGCCGTCTACGCAGACGTCCTTCAGGGCAAGCTGGACCAGCGCAACCAGCTGCTGGAAGTGGACGTCTGCATTGGCCGGGACATCCGCAAGAAGGACATCAGCAACATCATCAAGACCCTGCGCGAGTGGTGAGCCCGGGAGGGCTGCTCTTAGGGTGGAGCCAGTTGGGGGGCAGGGCCACTCTGCAAGTCTCTGCTGCCCTGGGGCCTTCAGACATAAAGCAGGTGTGGCAGCAAGGCTAGTTCCTGCCTTTTAGTGCCGGGCGAGGCATCATTCTTGTATCTGGTGGTGGTGGTGGTGGTGGTGGTGTGTGTGTGTGTGTGTGTGTCTCCCTCCCTCTCCCCCTCTCCCTTCTCCAGGCTGTGTTCCCCATCCTGTGCTGTAGGTGTGTGAGGGGCTGCAGATCAGAACACAAGGAGGCAGTGGTTGGGCCAGTGGCTGTGAACCTGGCGAGGGAAGGGAGGGGCTGTGTGCGGGGAGAACTGCGCTGATCTCTCAGGAGTATCTGAGGGCACACTAGGTAGATGGGAGGAATTGGGCCATTTGCCTTGTTTGAACAGAATCTGGTGTCCACTTGAGGATGCTCTGAAGTGGGGTGAGGGGAATGACTGGGGCTTAGGCAGCCAGGCAGCCTTAGTTGGGATAGTTGGTGGGTGGAGTTTTGCACTTGGGGTGAGGGTGAGGAGTAATTAGGTAGGTAGGCCCAGGGCATGCTGGAGCCCCTGAGCAGGGCAGGCAGGCTCTTGGCCCCTGTTGTGGGGGGCTATCCAGTCAAGTCACACTCACAGCGACCCTGTGTCCCAACAGAAGGAAGTCCTGCCTGGGCCTGGGCTGTCCTTCTCATCGTTGCTGCGTGCTGAGAGGTTGGGAAATTGCCGTCTTTACACTAAATGGAATCTCTGGGCTTATTCTTCAGTGGGATACCCGGGGTGACTGGCCCTGCGTTGATGTCCTGAGGTCCCTCACTTCATGGCTCTCGGGGCCCGGACAGCCTAGCCTGTCCACTCTGCCCAGAGCGCCTGCCTTCTGAAGCAGT